CGGTGTAAAGACGTCGTGAAGTTACTACAAGCCGCAAATTTAGAAAATCAAAATCCTTCTCATCACCCTCAAAAACTGCCACTCACAGCCCTCCCGACACCTCCACGAAGCACCCCCGTGGCTTCCCCCCCTCCGAACCCTTCAGTCTCCTCCCGGAATGAATAGAAAGCTACTAAATATTGCTATCTTTCCCTTTCTCCCTCCATCCCCCCGGACTCCCAACTCCCACCTGCACACGACCGAGAATATGGATGTGGATATACTATTGTTGTTAGAATGAGGATGCTTGGGTTTTTATTTGCGCCTTCTATGTAGCATACCGCATATCTGTTTAAATTGCTCCTACAGTACTCTCCTGTTCACAGATCTTGAATTTTCTCCCTCCCACCATACACGTACTTTCTTTGAACCTTCCCCCACCCTGAGCCTAATTATTGAAGCAGCGAAAGTTCAACCCCAACCCCACGGTACGTGTCGAAACAGAGCAGACGTAGCTCCACTTATCACGATTGAAAGTCCCACAACCTGCGACGCCCATCCCATGCCGGGGCAAACCAAACACGAAACCGGCACTCAGACAAACCAGATTACCACAATTTCCGTAACAAAACTTACTATGTACCGTTCTTGAGCTGTTCCACCCCCCCTAACCCATCCGAATCCAACAACAACATTCCAACACTCTTGTTCAAGGTTACGAAAATCTCGGTTATCCGCCAGACACCTCTGCGATACCATCAAACAACCCAACCCCCCACCTGGCATATCAAACTGTTCCCGCCTTCCGCCTTCCCGCATTTCTTTCCCTTCAAGCCTCCCCCTTCCAGACCGTTTTCTCACCGAAAACCCCTTTCCCCCATTTCACACCTACCCAATCCCCATTCCGGGTTCCCCGGATCTCGACGTACACCGGCAAAGCCGCCCACCGAGAAAAGTTAGCCTGGTTTTTGTTGAAAGTCACTGGCGCTCATGTGTTACTTGGTTTGTATTAATCGTTGGTATGGGTGTTTCACACCAGCAGAGGTTTCATCTGCTAGTATCCCTAGTGTTATTTCATGTTTACTTCCAGAATACGGGAGGAAGGAGTTGACCGGATATGATGATACTTGACGGTAGTATTCGGTAGATGTTCGGCAAGGCTCGGTCAGCCGGTTATATTGTTATGGGAACTTTTCTCTCACAGAAAGAGCCCGAGCTGGAACCTCGGAGGAGGAGAGAATATGCCTGAGGAGGCATGCGCCCATGTATCGGAAGAGGAAGGATTAACTTACCGTAGCCGGCAGATAGTTGGTTGATTGTGGATAGGGACATTGTTGGTCTATATAAACCCCCTCTTGCCCCATAGATAGAGAGAATTGAGCAAGCAACGAATATCAAGTTATCCTACTCCGTTATTCTTCCTCTATATTCCACACTCAGAAACCCTATCCAGTTCAATTTTACATTAGTTCCCACCCCCCGCCAGGTATCTACCCTTCCTCGCAATAGGGCGCGCCCGTTAATCCGTCACTACCAAACCCACAACCCAAAAACCAGAGCTGGCCAATAAAGCAAGAACTTATATCATACCAATTTTCACGAGAAAGGGCCCTTTGGGCACGTTACCTAAACTGAGACAGTTTAGCACATAAAGCGGGTCGCCAAATACCTCATAGAATCGCAATGCGCCCTATCCCCTCATCGCCAAATTCAACACCCCCGACACCCCCAAAGCGCCGAGTGATTAATCATGACTCACTAAGGCAATCCAAAGGATCCCAAGAGCGAGGCGGAGAACAGAGAATTGGAAAAGTTTGGGCTGAACAGAACACCGGAAGGGGTATGTGGACACCAGTGACGGATTCGTTCAGGTGACTTTCCCTAGTTCTATTAGGTTGTTCCGTGCCTCGGCTTATATCTGGGGGGATAGTGAGACCAGTGAGATTCGGGAACGATTTCCAAGAGGCGAAAAGGCCCCCGGGGATGTAAGCCCAGGAAGGGTATCAAACCGCTTTCGGGGTCTTTGTATGCACGTCTCTGAATTCCTCATTTTACCACATGCGCGGTAGTCCGGCAGTTTTGACGTTGAGCAGGAAATAAGACTGAACATGCACCCCCTACCCCACCAATGTTTCTCTCCTTCTCCAGCTCATAATCCTATAGCGTTAGAGCAGTGAACACTGCCTTTGCCATTAAAATACGTGTACAACAAAGTAACTAGCCATGAAACAATAGAGCTCCACTGCCCCAAAGTGCGATGGCACTCATAGATGAGTTGATACAAAAATAACAGCTTTCCCAGCCCGAAGAGTACATTCCGAATCGCGATCAGCCATCATACAGCGACCGGTAGCTTTTTCTAGGAATACTCGGCTCTACTACTTCTCCTCAACGTGTATCACTATTGAGGTATTTTCACACCTCCTTCCTCGTCTTCAGTCCCCTCCTCCTCATTATCATCCTCCCCCTTGCCCCCATCTTTCCCCCCATTCTTACCTTCCCTATTCTGACATTCCTCTTTATCCTCTGAATTACCATCTGCCACCATTTTTCCAGCCCTGGTTTCATACATCTCGTCTCCTCCAGATTCTTCCTCCTCGTTACCCTGTTTCTCACCTTCTCCCTCTGCCATCTTTTCCTCGAACCCCGTTTCCCCATAACTCACAACAACCTTCCATCCACATACCCCACCATTCTTCGCCCCAACCCCAACAACCACCCTCACAACACCCCCCGCAACCCCCAACTCCCTCTCCCAGATCCGTTGAAAACCAACGTACGCTTTCCTAGCCCTCGAACCACCTCTCTTCCCTTTACTCATACCCACCTGTCTTGCATTCTCAATCCCATCCATAGCTATATCCTCTCCACGCACATCCCAATACTTCCAGACGTCAAGTCCCAAGTGCAGGAGTAGGAAAAAAAAATTCAACGCCACCAGCCAGACCACCCAGTCAAATGGCGATAGCGGCACGGATATGGTAGGGATTGACCTCCGGGACGAGTACCAGATTTTAGAGATAGTGTTGATGAGGCCGTCGGTGAAAGTTTGTGGGGAGTCTTCGAGCGAACATATTGGGTAGTTTGCGTGGGGGGGCCATGCGAGTGGCGAAGTATAGTTCGTGAGGGTGAGGCTATCTGGCTCCGGGATTGTGGTAAATGTCTTGCTTGCCCTAGTGAGGTAATTGTGGTAGAAATTTGAAGGGAGAGCAAAGCCAAGCGGGGACGCAGTTTCTGCCCCTTCCATAGTTGCAGTGGCGGAGTGGTGTCGGTCAGGGGCGTGAGAAACTTGAGGGGAGGAAGAGAGGGGATGGAAAGGAAGGATCGGAGTAGCAAGTTTGAGGACCCTTGGAAAGCCTATTACGCACACCCCGTGTATAATGCGAGTATCGAAAGTAGACAGAAGAGAAGCAGACGCGTCAGGCCAAGGACCAGTTGGGAATTTCGGAGGAGCGACGCTACATCATTTTACCTATGTTCAAGTCGTGATGAACCCAGACGACAGTACCCACCCCAGAGCAACGCACGTTATACCCATCGCTCCATCTCAATCTACCAATTACACGCCAATACACTTTCTAGAATTCGCAACCACAGCCTCGGAACGCCACACCCCCAGAGCCAAACACCGTACCAACCGCATGGAAAGAAATGCTACAATTGCGCATCAACGCACGAACAGATTTTGAAGACCTGGGACGGTGGAGGATTTTCTATCTTTCATTTTTTTGACCCCCCACGCCTCTCCCCCCATCCCCGCCGGGTACTATCTACAAAATCCCTGAACTCTGCCTTTCATTCCACCAGATCATGCGGACATGCCCCTTTCCCTTCCTCGCTCGTTAGGACGATATCAAACCCTCTCCACTCTTTCGCCTTTCTCCTTGCTGCTCCTAAATAGAAGTGAATATACTTGCATTCATACGCTTGTCATGTACACTTCACACCAATAAGCGAGAAAGAAGGGAAGGGGAGCTAGGAATCCCGTTTCAGGGAGCGATAGTAGAATAACGTTTAACACCTTTTAGCACAAGTATATCAGAGTTGCAGAATCTCCCCCGAACTGCCCTCCGAGCGAATCCAGAGGGAGCCGCCAAATAAGGCGTGAACCTCAAGTTCGGTCAAGGCCCACGCTTCCATAACAAGGGGCGGATAACAGAACCTACGATTATCAGTTTTCTCCAGACGCTATAGTATGATAGCTAACGATATTTCCCTGAATTGCCCTCACAGGTAAGTAAATTCCTAAACTTGCAGGGGTTCCGTAGCACTCGTTTCCACCCTCTGCACACCTCACCCACCCCCAGAACCAGAATAGGACACATCAAGAATCAATGGCCAGTCCAACCACCCAGCCATGTTAGGACGAGGCGTCAATAAAGTAAACCACCGCTATCTTACCTCTGGGACCCCTCCCACCCTCCCCGACCACACCGTCACTCATACAGCCCCAAACCCCACCAGAAGAATAAAATAAAAATCTCGTCTAACCTACAGCCCCCATCCCGGTATGTGATCCCCGCCTTCCACCCAGCAAGACAAGACAGCAAAGAGGAATCCAAGAACCACCTCCCGGCGACCCGGGAAGATGAAAAGGGCCCCCAGCACCGATAACGGAGAAATGATGGTAATGCGATTTTACAGTATTGTATGTGAGGTCGCCGGATTCTGGGCCCCAGCCCACGAAGGGCAACCCACTACGGTGGGCTTTTTTTTTGTTGAAGCGGAGTAAGGCATTGCATGATTGCCCCCGCCATGTTATCGTTTCCAGACTGCTCCTTCCAGGGAGCGCTATAATAATTTGAGCCGAAACTATTTATTATGATACCCCACATATTTAAATAGCTGTAAAAATAAAAAAAAGGCTAACGCGGTTAGAACAGAATCGAGCGTAATCAGCGGCAGAGTGAGGTGACTTTCACGATTGGACTAATATAAAAACTGACAATTATTCTAACCCCAAGACCACATTCCAAATCAAGAACTATAATACAATGACCTTCAATCTTAGCCCGTAGCACCTATTTCGTTAACATGTATTGCTCAATAGGCAATACCACTCCTCCTTCGTCCTCTTCCCCCTCTTCCACCCCCCCACCCACCTTCACGCCCAAAATCCCCTTTGCCATTGTTATGGCCTCTTCTGTATTTTCTTTCGATTTAACATTATCCCCATATTCTCCTAGAGTGCCCTCGGTCACGGGCACCTCATCACTCTTTCTGGCCCCGCCCTCCTCCAGGTCCTCCTCCCCCCCATTGCCATCTCTCTTAATCCTAGCTCCCTCCCTATTTCCATCTTTCCCCATATCCCCATCTTTCTCCTCACTCCTCCCATCTTTCTCCTCACTCCTCCCAGTCTCCTCCCCTTCCCTATTCTTCCCTTCCCAATTCTTACCCTCTCCATTCTCGCCCCCTCCATTCTCACCCTCCTCCCTGTTCTCATCACTCTTATTCCCTGCGCCCTCTTTGTTCCCAGTCCTTTCCCCTCTCACATTTTCCTTCACATTCTTACTCTCACCTCCTCCCCTGTTCCCATGCCCCTCCTCATTCTCATCCCCCCCTCCTCTCCGGCCCCGGTTCCACGTATATTTCCTCTATCAGGTTCTTCCCCATTCCCACCCTGTTTCTCACCTGCTTCTACCATCTCTTCCTCATGCTCCTCTTCCTCTCTCATCTCTTCGGCTCCTTCTCCGCATACCTCCCCCAACCCCGCCTCTTCCTTCTCCTTTACTTCCCCACATCCTACTTCCCTCTCAACCCGATCAGTTCTTGTGCCCTCTTCCTCCTCCAAACCACTCCCCGACCCTACTTCGGTAACATCTCCCGTACTATTTTTAAAAACACCATTCTCGGTATTCTCATCCTCACTCTCCCCACCACTCTCCGGTAGACGAAGGCGGGGTACCTCCCTCCCTGCCAAAGAACTCCCCTCCCCCATATCCACCTCCTTCCCATACATCTTCCAACACCCCCAAATCCCAAATCCCAATCTCACAAGTAGGAAAAGCAGAGACGGCACCCCCAACCAGATTATGTAGAAGAGGAACCATTGCGATACAAGCACGATAGACCCCGTCTTCTGCGAAGAGTACCAGGTTCTAGAGAACCCGTCGATGAAGCCCACCCCAGGTGTTTGGGGAGTCCCCCCTAGCGGACACACCGGGTATTGTTCGTAAGAGGGAGGTGTAGGTTGCGACATACCCTCCGTGGGGATAAGGTTGTCCGGCTGTGGAATTGCAATAAGGTCGGTGCTTGCCCCAGCCAGGTAGTCAAGCCGAGATTTGGGAGGGAGGACGAGGCGAGGTCCCGGGGTTCTTACTCTGCTCATTACTCAGTTGGGGGAAATTCGGCAGTCGTGGCCGGACGAGAGAAGGGTGAGAATAGGGCGAAGGGAGACGGAAAGGAACCAGCGGAGGAGCAAACTTGCCCAAGCTTAAAAGGTGTATCGCTTACGCCCCGTGTATCGCGCGAGTGTAAAACGTCGTACGCGGCGGGTCAAGGATTATCCGAAAATCCAACACCAGAGCGACTCTCGGTGATCCAACCAGAGGAGTTCAGGACCAGAGATGAATCCAACCAATTCCTCCAAATTTACGGATACGAAGGCAAGATTCGCAGCGAAACCGGCCGAGAAAAAAGAAAAAAAAAAGTGGTCCTAAGTCGAATACAGAGTGAGAAACAACCCGGCACAAAATATAGAAAGCGAAACAAAATAAAGGGAGGATAATTGTCTGCATCACCCAGCAGAGAGAGGGAATTCCACGGTTCTTGTAAGAAGCGTGGCCGGCCTAACCTCCCCGCTACGAGCCTAAATATTCCAAAATCCGAACCGGCAAGGGAACCGTGCGCCGCACACCGCACATCCCAAATCCTTATCAGGCGAAAGCAGAAACAGGCTGACTTGACCACCAAGACGGAAACGCGCATGTGCAACAATGCCATCCCTGAAATGAACTCTAGAATAAAGCCTGTGGGGTATACTTCGCCTAGCCTTCATCTATCCATAGTATCATAGTCAGGCCGCGAGCGTATTTGTTGCCCTCTCCTATCCAGCGGCAGGATAAACGATCCATGGTTGATCATCCGTTTAGCCACTTTCGGTAAAGCAGCAAAAATCGAATAAATGGGGGAAGTAAAATACCGCACTACCGGTATTTAAAAAAAATCGGGGCATGCTTGTTGGTCCTAACAGAGAGTAGGGAACAAGCACGGGCGAAACCATAACTCGCTAAAACGAGAGAATAGTAGTAATCACGATTTCTCGCGACTCCGCTCATACATCCTAAAAACATATCCGGAGAAGGCAGAAGCAAACAAGATACCGGTATATCCAGAAACATCGGATACCAAGACCCCCTATTGCTCGCTGCAACAAGGTTCTCCTCTCCTACACCATCCACTCCACCTTAAAACAAAGGAAAGTAATGAACAGAACATCCCCGCGATCTCTCATGAGAATATAACATAGTAAAAAAAACTCCTGCTCCCTGGAGGTTTCCGGGCAATAACACTACCGTACACCCATAATACCATCCTCACGGCAATACCCAGATACTCCACTGCCCGCGCGCGCGTTCAAACCCCAGTCGGAACGCTACAATCCCTTAAATTGATTGCGCCCGCCCCTTGAAGTAGCCCACCGAGAATTATTTTTCAAGGTTCTGGCATCAGTGTTTGACAATGGCGGCACCCAACCAGGCTGGGCCCACTCAGGGCGGAATGCACAAACAGTCCCAAAAACTTGGACAAAACCTTCAACCCTGAACCGGTTCCCGTCATTCATAATCACTCGTATTTCTAGCAATTGGCGTTGAGGGCCTTACCAGTTTTAATAGGTATGATATTATCATATCATGTGATACATCTCCCCCTCCACTATTAGCCCCAACTCAACACACTCGCCCTCAGCCAGAATACCTACCGGTCGAATCACATATAGTGTTGTTTCTCACCGCATCACCCATCTTGGGAAGGATTTTTGCACCCCGAATATGTTATGACGGAGAATGCGGAGCCGGCCTCGGCTCGGTTAAGGACAATTTTTATCTTCTGCTGATGTAGAGCTTTCCTCCAGGCCTTCACTCCCCCCTGTACTGTACCCTATAAAAAAAAATCCGCCATTTGGCAGGTATTATGTCATCACCACCCGTATCAGAGATCAACAATCCCCACCTATGCTCCGGGGGAAGGGCTCAGCACTTTTCCAAGAATCCCCGCACATTCATAGACCTTTTGAAAAAAATTTCCCGGCGAGGGAGTTTATATTTAGATGACCAAAGCCAGAATCTTATTTCGTTCTAGTCAGTCCCCCCCCCCCTGTTCTAAGGTCTGACTACCTCTTCCTTTAGGAGCTCTACAGAACCGCACACTAAATGGCACCATGCGCGATACCACAAGTTACCGCGACGGCCAGCGTACAAGTACTCACCCTACCGGCAGGCAACTTCTGCGCCGGCAAATTTCCGCAAGACAGCCCACGCACGCAGAAACGAGCCCCAGGTTATCCAACCTACGTGTTCTCCACACCCCGGTCTAGATATCCCGGCTAAAAGCCAGACGGCTACCGCAGCGGCCCACTGAAGGCCTAGGGCTCAGCCCGCTTCCGGATGGGATAGTATGTTTAGGCTACCCTTTCGGAGCCTGCCTGTTGGCGCCCAAGGCTCTGGTTAGTGGGTGGATTAGAGTCTGTTTTTGCAAGGTTCCGGTGTGGGTCGAGGGAGTCCCTCTTGTGCGCACTTGGGTAGGGGGTTGGTTTTCGCCCACGGTTTCGGGGGGTGGAATCGTAGGTTTGCGGTTTCCCGCAGCGCACGGCATCGCAAGCTGAGTTCGCATAGGTCGGCGATACCGGCGTCTAGGCGATTACAATTGGTCCAGTAATAAGGCCGCCAGATGCGGATCCCTGTCGCCTAACGCGAAATCATCCAGAGAATAAACTAGGAGGGCTCGAGCACGAACGGATTTTTATTCCCCACTATCATATTCGCAGGGTTGCCTCATACTAAAATACCGGGACAGAGCAAAAAGTTTTCCTTGGAGCCATTTATGATGCCGGTACTCTCCCGCCTCTCCCACCTATAATACGGACTACTATTCGGACTCATCGCACCGAGCACGGTACAAACAGCAGCATTGCGAGCCCTTCCAATCCGATCCGATGTGATATGACATTAAAACCTACCATACCGACAAGCGACTCGGGAAGAGTAAGCGGGGTTGTACTACCATATACCACACTCAATTCTTACTCGGCGAGGGCGCTGGCTTCCCAGGCGATGTGACGCGATTCGGGATGCGTCCGTATCGCAAACGCCGTACGATGCCCGTAGTACAAACATCCCACCATGTCTCAGCTCTTTGCGAAAACCACGGTGGGTCGAGCGAGGAGGGGCTTGTCCGTCACCCCTGTCCACACAATGAACAAAACGCCAATCGGAAATACCCAATGCTCGGCAGTATGAGCACCATTGTCTCGGAAGCCACAAAATAACCGAAATTGCGGATTTCGCTCGTGGCTCGCGCGTGATTGTGAGTTCCAGCCGGGTTGTGAACAGGGGTGGCGGAGTCACTCCATTCATCTTTCCGCACTGTAATAGTAATGCTGCATCGTGATGCTGGAGACTCGCCGACCATCAAACTAGCTTCGCCGTACAGCAGTGCCAGCACTATCATATTTGCACATTTTGGAGATTTATCACGCGCACAATGTAAAGTGAAAGCCGGGGTCTATTGGGCTTATTGCATTAGGATCCCTTGGATAACGATGGCGTGGTGAGCTTGGGCCGTACGCGCGTCTTCTCGGCTGAGGTCCTAGCAGTGGCGATGAGAAGGTGCCGTGGCCTAGCCGTATTATGAGAGTGAATGGCTTACAGTCCCATCGCGGTGCTCTCGAACCGTGCTAGTACTTGTACAGCACTCGTACTACCAGACGGTAGCATAACGCAGGGGTGCTCGCTAAGCTTGGATTTGGGGAAACTTCCCTCTGTGCCGCCCTTTTAGCGTCTATTGTGACACAACTCGGTAGGAAAATTATTCAAATCGAGCTTATGATCGATTAACGTATTGGACCGGGGGTGAGGCCGGGCGTGGTAGGGAGCACTTGAGGATCCGGAGGTCTCAGCTGGCACCCGGCACCGGGAGAGGGTGCCCGGAAGAATACGGCACCAAGTTACTCCTAATGATACTGTAAGATGGATTCGGCGTCGGAGGGAGCAAGAGAAAAAAACGCAACAAGGATCTGAACAAGATCAGCCCCGCATCATCTCACATAGTGATCCGCTTAGGGCCCGAATGGACAACTTGAACTGCTACGGTAACACAGGTGGCTCTGGATTCTCGATTCCAAGAATCTTGGCACTCATGTGGCTCCCACCGATGGCAGACGCACCTGCAGTCTGGGCAGATGCGGGATAACTGTTTCTTGCCATGCCAGTCTGGTAGAAGTACCGGTACCGGTATTTCAATGGGGCACTGTAATCTACTCGAGGAACTCGCAGCGAGATGCATGCAGGCAGTGAGGCCACCGGGTAATATCAAGCTGGATCGCACGGCCATGAAGGTAGCTGCACAGCGGGCGGGGGGCGATGTGCTGGACCCAGCAATATGGACACCGGGCGTTCGATTGGACGCTCAGGGGAGCGCAACAAATTTGAGGGGCCGAACATGCACGGATGAGCTGCTGGCATGACAAGTTGGCGGTAGCTGCAGCTTTAAACATCTCCCGTGACTCTCCCACCCGAGTCCCACCCGTTCCCGTGCAATCTCACCATCAGGGCCGCCAGAGCCAATCGAATGTCAGGTACGAGTGCCGGCCCCATCTGGCCGAACACCGGTTCTACTTACAGTACTAAGTAGACACCAGCCAATCCCCGGCTACCCCGGATCGCTTCTGTGGGGCAACCCCCCAAAAAAGTTTGATTCAACTCCCGATGGCCATCAGGAGCTAACCCGATTCGCCAAAGCTTCCAGGCTGCAGGCAGCCTGTGAGGGAACACGGCAAGTCACTCGTTTTCTTTGTGCGGCTCGATTTTCAGCTAAATTAGGGTACCGGTAGTTCCTCTGGGGTCGTTCTTGGGCGAGGCGAACCGGACACGGATGGATAAGTGGGTGAAAAGAAGTGAACCGAAAAAAAAAGAAGGAAAAAAAAGAGAGGGAAAGGATGGAGGTGAAGACGGAGGTGATCCCCGGGCGAGCAAACCAATGGTTTAATGGAGGTTCTCTGCTTCACTGTCTCACACATGGTTGAGAGGGCATTATTTGATCCCCAGGACGGTAATAGCTCTTGGGGGGGGCTCTTCCGCCACGGGGGCACAGAGAGACGATGATTTAAACAGGCCAACTGTCCCCTACGCATTCACGGTTATCGTGCTCGACGACGGCGCTCCACCCGACCGCTGCACCACCAGTAGGAGCTTAGCCCGAATCCAGCTCCCGTTAATCACACCACAGGGGTGGACCTCAACCGAAGCTCCCTCGCTACTTGTTCTGGTATCGGTACAAGTACTACATAATACCCTCCTATCCCCTCCTACAGGTATTATGTTTTTTACTTTTTTTTTACTCGCACCTATCCTACCCAGCCAGCGTGTTCTAAATCCAGCCCAGGGTTCTTTTCCACTTTTGCTCACCGTAGCAGGGTTACCATCCCGGATAGGCATCGCGCTTGCCCCCTCGCCGCCGAGTTGTCGAGCTCCGGAAAAAGGGTTCGACCGATAACGTGCTTTTCGCCATGTCTCCCGCCATCCCGGTTGGCCCAGCCCTGTTGCACCCAGCAACGACAACGCCCCTGTGCCCACGCAGCATTAGCAACAGAGCCCCTTACAAGAACCACCACAGGTGCCCACTCATGATGAACGGCCTACGACCACTGTCCCCGAGCAACGGGGGCCGAGCAGACACCCCGTTGCCTCGATTCCTCGGTAGGTTTGTTTGTTGATTCCCTCTTCGCTTGAGAGCTTCGCTTAAGCTGACACGTGCCTGAAAATCCTTGCAAAACAGACAGCTCTGGACTCCTCATTGATCCTCCGGTCGGGAATGGGAAGGAGGGGGGAGGGGCCACCGGGGAGGAGATGCCGACGCTGTTACATCGGGTTAAGCATAGTGCGAGTATTCTATCACTTTGTGTATCGGATGAGTTGATTTATGCGGGTAGTCAGAGCGGGGAGATTCTGGTTGGTTTTTTTCTTTTTCTTTTTCCCCCTTCCCTTTGGCGTTGCGGAGCACGGTGATGAGCTGACAACGGATGGGTGATAGGTGTGGTCGATTGAGACTTTTCAGCTCGTCAAGAGCGTGCAGGCCCATCAGGGGAGTGTTTTGTGTCTTTACCTCGCGGATGATCAGTCGGTTTTGTTCTCCAGTGCCGGTGATGCGATTGTCAACGTATGTCCATGGAACCAGGTGTTCTCGCCAAGGGCGAGAGTCGGGTCCGTAGCACTGACTGTGTTTGTAGGTGTGGGATGCGAAAACCTTCGAGAACCTTTACGGTATCTATTCCACTTTCGACGTGGGCGATGTGTTCTGCGTTGTCTACTCCTCGGCCCTACAAACCGCCTACTTTGGTGCGCAAAATACTAGTATTCAGGTAACTAGCACCCCCAGTGCTCGGCGGGGCGGGTGAGCTGCAATTGACTTGTCGCGGCTTAGTGGTACGACCTTAAAGCGAAAGATTCGCGACCTAGACCCACTTTGACCTCGCACCCTTCGCACCGCAACCACCGTTTCTTCGATTCCAAGGGTCCCGGCGGAAGGACTGCGCCTAGACCCGCATCGAAGGTTGTACCGCCGGGATCGAGGCTATTGGAGGTTGATCAGGAAAATATTGTACAGTATGCTCACTACGGCTACGTCTATTGCATGCTTCTCATCACGCTTCCATCCGGGTCGGAAATCGGGGGCGACGGAGGGGAGATGCTGCTCTCCGGGGGCGGGGACGGAGTGGTCAAGCTATGGACAATTAACCCAGCGACGAGCGCTATCGCAAGTTCTCTGAGCTTGAGCGCCGGTGATTCTGGAGTGCTGAGCATGGCAATCAACGACACTATGCTTTACTGCGGATTGACCGATGGTGAAATATGCATTTGGGACTTGGACACCAGGCAATTGATTCGTAGTCTCAGGGCCCATTGTGACGATGTCTTGACCATGTCTGTCATGGGGAATTGCATCTTTAGTGGGAGTGCTAGCGGTTATTCGAGGGTACTTTCCCGCTTTTTTTTACGGGTGTCGCATGCTGACAATAGCTTTTATAGAAATGGAATCAACGTTTCGAGCATATGAGCCGCTGGCAGTCTCACTCTGGGCTGATACTGGCTTCTGCTGCGACCAAGCGTCATGGGAGACTGATTTACATCACCGGCGGAAATGACAACTGTGTAGCAATCTGGGACGCTTCTGCCCTTGTGCAGGCGGAATCGCAGGCTTTGAGATCTCAGAATGACCAGCTCCTTTGCTCGCTGAGTAAGATGGTTTCCTTCCGCACTGTTTCTAGCGATCCTAGCTATGCCGAAGAATGTCGCCGAGGTGCAACCTATCTCAAGCAGCTATTTAGGCGGTACGGCGCGACGGCTACGCTCTTGCCCTCGGAGGAGGGTAGGAACCCGATAGTTCACGCGAGGTTTGGCAGCTGCGGTAGGAAGGGCAGGAGCAAAGGGAAAACGATACTGTTCTACGGCCATTATGATGTAATACCTGCTTCCGAGTCGGCTGGGGCTGGGTGGCAAACCCGGCCATTTGAACTAACGGGGATGAATGGATATCTATACGGTCGTGGAGTATCAGATAACAAGGGCCCTTGTCTCGCCGCGCTGTTCGCTGCCGGTGAACTCGTACAGGAGCAGGAGCTGGATGCGGACATCATGTTCCTGATCGAGGGGGAAGAGGAATCTGGGAGCAGGGGCTTTGTCGATGCCGTTAGGAGAAATAAGGACTTTATCGGCGATGTGGACTGGATTCTGTTGGCCAACAGCTACTGGCTTGATGATGATGTTCCGTGCTTAACCTACGGCCTAAGAGGGGTAATACATGCTACCGTGGTAGTGGAGAGCGACAAGCCGGACCTGCATTCGGGCGTTGAGGGCAGTAGACTTAACCGAGAGCCTACGATCGACCTGGTAAACTTATTGGCTAAATTGACCTCTCCAAACGGGAAGGTCTTGATTCCTGGTAGGATTCAATCTTGCGAGCGTGCCGAGGTGTTTGCTGACTGTATTGTCTATAGGATTCTCGGAGCCCGTCCGCCCCGTCACCCCCGCCGAGGAAGAAATGTACACCGCCATTACCAATGCCATTGTCAACAAACCGGACTGGTCCCACCTAACCGCAGCCCAGATAAAAGACCATCTGATGTCAAAATGGCGCTTCCCGTCGCTAACAATCCACAAGGTTTCCGTTTCGGGACCGTCGAACGCGACCATCATCCCGCGCGCAGCGTCGGCTTCGATATCCCTTCGCATAGTGCCGGACCAGGAGCTATCCGTGATAAAGGAACAACTAGTCTCGTATCTGCGCGGCGAGTACTCCTCGTTCAGCAGCAACAACAAGCTCATCATCACAATAGACCACGAAGCGGAGCCCTGGCTAGGGGATCCCGAAAACGACGCATTTAGAACATTGGAAGAGGCTGTTATGGATGTGTGGTCCGAGGGGAATGAGGAACGGGTCAGGCCGCTGTACATTCGTGAGGGTGGGAGTATCCCCACTGCAAGGTTTTTGGAGAAAGAGTTTGGGGCCCCGGCAGCACATCTTCCGTGTGGACAGGCGAGTGATCAAGCGCATTTGGATGATGAGCGGCTGAGACTTGTTAATCTTTATAAGGTGTGTTTTTTCTTTTCCTTTTTTTTTTCTTCTTCTCCCCTCCACCGTGTTACCGAAGGACTTCCTGGTGTGTGATGGCTCCTGTACTGATCCTGATGGGGTGCTTTAGAGCAAGGCGGTTCTGAAGAGAGTGTTTAAGGAGTTGCCGAGAAAGTAGACCCATTTTTTTTATATTTCATCATATTGTTATAGAATATTGCGGTGGATTGGAGCGATGGTAGAGTCTGCTTCTACGGCAGGCGAATGTTTATATGCTCGTAAAAGTGGCTGCAGGGGAGTGCACTGTCTGCCCGTCTACTCGTAGTTAGATGTTTGTTCACTGCATCGCCGGAATAAATTCCCCCTCGGTTGGTTTTTGCGATTGGGTCGTTTAGTGGTTGCCATGTATTGTTGAGCACGTTTTTGTAGGAAGCCATGTCTATGGTCTCTAGGAATTATGACATGGGCGCGGAAGTTGTGGTGGTGGTGGGGGAGGTGGTTGCCTATCTAGTCTAACTGAAACAACCTGGCAACCGATGTCACCACACCGAAAATAAATTTAATTCCCACTGGCGAATCCCGTTCTAAATTACGCCGCAGAAGAGATAAGAGTCCGCCACCACAGCCACACCCGAACACACTGACAAGAAAGAAAAACCGAGATACGGTAATCCCAACCACCGAGGCAACAGGCTACGACCACGCTATCCTGCTCCTCTTTCCACTCTTTCCCTTGTCTTTTCCCTTCTCTCCCCCTTTCCCCTTTCCTCCCCGCACAACAGCACTAGCCCAGCAATGGCGATACCAGCCAGATCGCCCTTGGCCGGTCTGGCCCGAGTCGCCCTGCTCCTTACGACATCCCTACCGCGTCTACACTCTCACCCGTTGCAAAAGCGCGAGGAAGGCGACCCCGAATCGAGCGGATTCTGGCTCAATGTCGGCATAGCCTTCTTGCTCGTCGTCCTGGGCGGGATCTTTGCCGGACTGACCCTGGGTCTGATGGGTCAGGACGAGATCTACCTGCAAGTTATCGAGCAATCCGGGGAAGGTGCGGAGAAGAATCACGCGCAGAAGGTCTTGGGCTTGTTGAAGCGCGGGAAGCATTGGGTTCTTGTCACTCTCCTGTTAAGCAATGTCATCACCAACGAGACCTTGCCGATCGTTCTGGATAGGAGTCTTGGCGGGGGATGGCCCGCTGTCTTGTCCTCCACCGTTCTTATCGTCATCTTCGGAGAGATTATTCCTCAGTCCGTGTGTGTGAGGTACGGGTTGAGCATTGGGGCTTACTTGTCGCCGTTCGTGCTCGGGCTGATGTACCTCATGTACCCGGTCGCGTACCCGACCGCGCTGCTGCTGGATTACATTCTTGGGAAGGATCACGGGACGGTTTATAAGAAGGCGGGATTGAAGACGCTTGTTACGCTGCACAAGAACCTCGGCCCGTCACCCTCCGAGAGGCTGAATCAGGATGAGGTCACCATTATTTCGGCCGTCCTAGACCTGAAAGATAAGCCGGTCGGCTCCATCATGACGCCTATTAAGGATGTGTTTACAATGTCTTCGGATACGGTTCTTGACGAGGGGACCATGGATCGGATACTCTCGGCCGGTTATTCCAGAATTCCCATTCATGCCCCGGGTGAGCCGGCCAATTTTGTTGGTATGCTGTTGGTCAAGATCCTGATTACTTATGATCCCGAGGATGGGAAGCGAGTGGGGGAATTCCCTCTAGCTACGTTGCCGGAGACTAGGGAGGAGACCAGCTGTTTGGATATCGTCAATTTCTTTCAGGAGGGTAAAAGTCACATGGTTCTCGTCAGCGATTCTCCTGGTGAGAATCACGGCGCACTCGGGGTTGTCACCCTGGAGGATGTTATCGAGGAATTGATCGGAGAGTGCGCTGCCATGTGATTCACTTGCTGTGATGTGCGCTAATTTGAAATAGAGAAATAATCGACGAGTCTGACGTCTTCATCGACGTTCAGAAAGCCATCCGCCGCATCAACCCCTCTCCCTTATCCCGCCGCTCGATCTCCACCCATTTTCCTTGTCTGAGTGAAGTAGTCTCCTCCACGGCCAGCGTTGCCGCCTCGGTCACCGCCCCGGAGTCGATAACCCATCCCATCTATCCTGGCGGTGTGCAGCCCGAGCATCCCTTGATCTACGACGGTGATCCACGAAGCACGGGCTTGACCCTGAACAACGATAACAACCCCAGCCACCTTCACCCGCCACCCACCGTCCGTCGCTCGAGCCAACAAGCTTCCCTTGCCGGGATCCCGGAAAACGTCCTCCCGCAGCTCAAATTCCTTGGGCCCGCAAATCTGGCGGGAAACCCCAAGTCTACAAAGTACAAGGCTGTCAAGATCAAACCCGCCGGAAACCAAGATGAGCACGTCCGCGTGCCCATATCGACAGGTGAAGGCATCGGCCAGGTGGTCCAAGCGCACGAGTCCCGCACCGCCTCGCCCACGATTGCCCTCGCCAGCAACGGGAACTCGCAAGTCGACGGTACCTACGGTGCACTGGCTGCCAACCCCTGGGTCGTGACCCCCGACCCAGCGCCCCTCCTGAAAGAGCCGAATTCAGTAGACGAGTGCGGGGAGGATCCCGACACGGAGAACGCTTACCGCATCAAGAGCGCTAAGAGGCGCATTGCCAGGAGTGGGAGTCTTGTAGAGCGTGTTGAGCACGTTGGCGGTGTGCCAAAGACGGTGATTGAAACCACAAGCAGCGGCAGTGATGAGAGCGGTAGCGGCAGTGGGAGTAATAGGAAGGATAGGAAGAAGAGGAAAGGGAATAAAATGGGTGACGGGGAGACTAGGCCGTTGTTGGGCGGTCGGGGCGCCGAATAGTAGCACTGCACTCGAGTAGTAGTCGTTGGGAATAGAACCGATGTAAAAAATAATGTAACCCTTTTTTTCCCTTCCCTTTTTTCCCTTCCCTTTTTTTCCCCTAAATTCCTTTCACCTCCTCATTTCCTACTCTTGCCATCCCGTTTCTATCCGTCCCCTGCGGTAATGAGCCGGGTGGTTAGCCCCTCATTGTCGCGGTCGACTATTTGCTCTAATACTCGCCCCGCCACTACATTACTAACTTATCACTTACACTGCGACATTATCACTGCACCGCCAAGATCAGATTAAATTTTTGTCCTCACTTGTTTTTTTCCACGTTTCTTTATTTCTCTGGGATCCGATGGGTTGATGGATATTTTTACCTTTTCGCCTTTTCTTAAAACCTATTGCATGTCATAATCGAAATTGCGTCCGGGGAGTTTTTTTTTTTTCTTAAGAAAAATTTGTTGTCGACTGGAGGAGGAGGAATGGTGAAATTTAAATTACGATAAGTTCACTCGAATTTCGTGCCATGGGTGGGGTGGAGTGGAGGGGTCAGTGTCTAACCGATTATGGGACCGTACCGGTTGAATCGCGGGGTTTTATGTACCTGTACAAGTACTCGAGTGCCGGCTGCAAGATGGTGGGATATCCCGGTAACGGGGTTAAGTTGCCGCATGCACTATATCGTGCTCTGCTGGCATTTTTAGATGGTGTGTGGTAATTTAGTGAGTGATTTGCCGTGATTGCCCAAATTCCTTGGTTCGTGGTGGATTATCGTGCGGCTGGGGTGCTGTGCCGGAGTGGCGGTTCGTGGGCGCTATATACGGGTACGAGTAGTTCCAGGTAGACCATTTTGTTGTCGTGGTGGTGTGATGTCGCGCTGCGATTCGTGGGTGCTGTACCATACAAGTATCATACAGTACTGGGCCACTATTCGGAGGATTTAATTCGCCTGTTCGGCACAAGGGCCCCTAAGATAATTAACAAGGGGGGAATGGCTCCCTAGGATTAGTCCAACCGTTTTCTGGGGACGATCACACTAATCCCGATTAGTATCCCAACAACGCCTTTGATTTCTGCCTTACTATTGTGCCTTCTTCCAGCGTCAAGTCTTTGTTTCGCTTCATATTCCACTTGTAACATCTGTTCCGGTACTATTTGTTGCTTTTTGAAGGCTTTTCGTAGGTGAGGCGTATTCTGGGCGGGTATATAACTGCCGCCTAGGAGGGGAGAAAAACTCTTCGGGTGTGATATCTTCACTACAATGCTTATAGGGCGTTTCTTGGCCTGGCGATCTGTGCGTCGGACCGGCTAAACTCCCCTATTGGGACTATTCTCTTCTCCTCTCTCTGCTGCATGGAGGGGGCGATTAGGATGTAAGGGATTTGGAGGTTGTTACTCAGAAGGCGGAGGAAATACGAATGGGGGGATATTGTGATTATGAAAAGTACCCGCGAGGTTCTGTACTTACTGTACGGTAGTGCAAATTTAGCTTTAGCTATCAAACGTAACTTATTTATCGATCCAATGGACGACCATCCGTAATTAGGATTTTGATTGTAGGATCGCTGGCTCTGTTCTTTGGGCTATCGATCACCCCCACTGCACTCTACTGTACTCGAGTACAAGAATTGGATGATCAGGCTTTATGATATCCGACGGTTGGAGTTTCACATCTGTAATCTGGTGACGGGCCATGATCTTTGTTTTCATATTAGCAGATAAGTTAGGCGGAGGCTACTGTACACTTCCGCCTTCGCAGGTCCATCTCTAATGCAGGTGGAGGGGACCGCGCTCCTTCTCAACTCTCTCTCAAACACAACTCACGTGACGGGTGCTTATGTAAAGCCCAGAGGTATCATATGCCTTCCAACTGTGGAAATTTTCCCTGCATCACCTTTACGACTATAGTGTTGGTGTCACGCCAAAATTTAAATTTGGTGTGGTTGTCGTGCTCTCGGGGGTGGTACTGTACTGTGCAGTGATCGAGCGATATCGAATGTCTTCCAGGTCTAGTTACGACCCTTTTCGCTTCATTTAACCCAGTGGCGCGGTGAATAAATCCGTTATTGGGAAGCCTCTCCTTCCTCCTTGAGTTCGAGATAAATTGGTGGCGTTGTGGGTGGGGTTGGCTTGTCGCTAGTCATAAACTGTCATTCTGTTACCCTTGGGAGGAAATATATTTGACCGATTTTTACTGCTTTGTGCTTACTGGTGTTCCCACCATGGCCTTCCCCTTTTGTCGAAATAGGTGATGGGGTGTCTTTGGTGTGACTATGATATTCCTCCTTTATTCTGGAGTTTGACGACGGCTTTGAGTATTGAGATAAGTTGAAAAATACTGTGGTATTTATCTGTTTGGTTTTCTATTGGCACGTGACGAATAGGCCCTTATTCCTCCCACCTCCCGGTTTTTTAAGATGGTAATTATGGTATCATACTGTGCCCGGGCAGGCGAAAGTTGAAGTTCGGGGAGGAGGGGGGGGGGGACTTTGGTAATTCGGGTTGTTGGGGTCCACATAAATTTGGCGAATAGGCCAGAGAGCTATAGTACTCGAGTACGGTACCCGTGTAATACGAACGGGAGGATTCTCAAATTAGCTAAAAACACTAGCTTTGGCAATGACAAGGGATGTTGTCGGCCGAGGGTGAAATCTTAGAATCCAACCGTGCTGGGGCCATTTTTTGTTTTTTTGCAAGGGGCTGTTTGAGCCTTAGGTCACTGCGGTGCTAAATGTGCTTGATCACGGGGGGGAGTGGTTCGTATGCTTATATATCAGGGAGAAGGGTGAAGTCTAAGGTCACGGTACAAAATTTCTAGTAAAGCTTAACGTCAGGAAGACAATGGATCAGAGTGTCAGAAAGGAATAAACCAGGAGATGTTAATTTGTAAATCTCTAGAATGATAGATATCTCTTGCGTGCGGGGAGGTTCCGAGGGCCGTGATGAGGGGTGTTCTGGTATCATGATAACTGGGTGCACGGCGGAAATTGGAAATCCACCAGATCCACCATCACCCCGAGCGCTGCAACCGTGGCTGGAATGAGTCCTCCAACATAACAGCGCCCATGAGGGGATGGGCTGAGCCAAACTACAACATATCGGAAGTGCAATGGCAATTAATACCGGTAATACCGGTACCGCACCGACTGGAGCGGTCTGTTGAAGAAAGAAGGGGGGAGGGCGGGAACCTGGGAGGTGATACTTCGACCCCCATCGTCATTCAGTAGCACTCATGCGATGGGGAGATAAATAGAGAGAAAGGTGTGAGGGTTAGGCGGGGTGGGAGCCTCCTCCGGAAAGCATCATTTTTTGATATGATTCGAGTGTTAAAAATCCATGAGGCGCATCTTGTGGACCGCTGGTATTTGGAGAACTAGGAACATGGCAAAGAGGCTCAATGGATCGATGGGTAAGCGGTGTTATATGGTGCGGTATGGAGGTGCGAGTCGACTATGTGGTTCCGCGGTTCCACAACCGTATGAAAATACTGCGGCCGATTGGTAAAATAGTCACATGCCTTATCCTCGCGCACTTCAGCCACAAATCTCACAAAATTTTATCCCAACTGACCCACGTGACTATTTTATCGATAAAAAAGTTCTGGAAGAAAGAATTACTTGAGTAGGGGTGCCCTTATTGGCACTTATTCGGGGTGGCGCGCAGCTTCGGCATCCCTGCTCTCCCGCCTTGCAGTGAGTGGCACGCTTCCGCCAGACTATCGTGCGGGATCGAAGAGAATCTGCGCGGCAACTGTTAAGTTCCCGTACGAGTAGATACCCGGTTATCTTATCTCTGCTGACGTAATCCACTCACTGGCCCGTGTGTAACCGGAGAGATTCGCCTGCCTCGGCATGTTGAAACAAGTGTTTTCCCGGGGTGTGTCCCGAATTCGCGACACAATGGCTTCACCCAACCCTTTATGGCCGAGACAAGTTCTATCATATTTTCGGCCGTGTTGGATGCTTTACCTTACTCGTAGACCTTGCTTGCACTTTGTTTCGGCGCACTGCCGTGGCACCTCGCCGGCCGACTAGGCATTTCTCGCAGGTGAGATGACCGGGCTCATGCGTTTACCACCTAGATGCACATTTCTCCAATTTCTATTCAACCCAGTTCCGTCCGATTTCATTTCGCGGGTGGCGCCTCGGATGGATGAAGTGCTGGAAATAGTATCCTGATTTTATGCAAACTAAATGCACTACCTATGTGGCAAGGGAATAGAACTTATAACGAGCCAAGGAAACAGCTATCAATACTTCTGTGAGATGTGTAGGAAAAACTTCGCTGTGTGTGAGCGCCTATAACTGGCCGTATGTGGGGAAGCAATAGAGAGTGAAGGGAAAGGTAGAGCCGAGCATGGCGGTGAAAGAAAAAAGGATCGGGCGATGACGGAGATGAAAAAGAATAAAACGAACGCGTAAGCATGTTGCACAGCGGGCAGGTATGGGGAGATGCGAGATATGAAGTGACAAAATATGGGAAGGCATGCCACAATTTGGCGAGACAAGAGCAGGTAGTTGAGGATAGAACAAATAAGAAATAGGATGAGGCCAAGTGAATACAAAGGAGATTATGAGAGAGAGACTATTCCAGACGTCAATCAATGACACAATACCGCCGCAATCCCAAGTGATACTATGGCTCCTCGTGCAGAGAACCTAATTCCCGTATGGCACCACGGGGCGAGATATACCATGCCTGTTCAACAGGTGAGCAGCAAGGTTATCAGCCCGCTTGATCCCCCGAGCTCCGACGTGCATACACCCCGCGACTGGGCAATCGACACGGTCATTGAGGTGCTTTGCGCGATAGTGTCGGTTAAAGGCTTGCCTCGTCTTGAAGGGCTTGGACCAGGAGCAATTGGAGGCCTCACAGGTAAATCTACTTGGGGCGCAAGTATGGGGGCCGCTGCAGGAGCGTTAAAGTGCATGTTAGTAATGCAGAATAGGTACGGGTCTATTGTAGGGTAAGGGGTGATTGCTGACCTGTTGCCGGAACATTTGTGGTATGGG